GAACTCTTCCCTGGAGCAGCTCTCTGAGAACACACACAGCATACATGCACATAAATACAAAGGGCATGAGTTAAAGAGTTCTGTATTTGCAGATGCGTACAAACAGCACTGACTGTGTCCAGGCTGGATGGCTCTGTACTGCGCAGTGAAGCCGCTGCCTGCAATGCTGCCGTCAGAGTGGAAGGTGACCCACACTGTGCTGCTGTTTGTGTTGACTGTCGGTGGCGCTACGTTACCACAGAACCTGCAGGAAGAGAATAGACCTTTTGAATAACCTTAAACTTTCGTTTTAACAATTATGGCTTTGGACGGGCCACTCAAGTCTGACCTTTATTCGACCAAGGGTTGTGGGCCAGTTATGAAACATTTTTAACATGTCATGAATAGTACTACAACCCTTGCCCAGAATGCAAGTAAGCAAAAAGGTCAACGTTTTCACATGTATCAAAAATATTTCCCAGAAGCTCCCAGTACCCAGAAGCACACTTCTGTTCTGCACAGACCTTTGGTGCCATCTACCAACCATTTAAGGTATTGACTTATTTATACGGCCATTATTTAACCAGGTTTGTCCAATTGATCTTGCCAAAAGTTGCAGCAGTGCAAAGTTCAAACAATAATCAAAGAAGCATATTGTTTTGAGTAATAATCAGATAAAACCTTTGCACGTCGCAGACAGCACTGGACACAATGCAGAGTCGTTCGGGGGAACTATCTTTTCAAGTTTAAGATCCATCTGTAGATTACAGACAGTATTTATAATGGTAATGAAACTTATAATTTTCCCTCAGAAAAGAATGTGTTCAGAAATGTTTGAAAGTTGTGCATGAATGAGGTTAATTTAATTGTTCATACCTTTACACTCCAAAGTGTACTTGCAACAACACATTTCTATACGTTGCCTCTTTATCCCTCACATGTATACAACTTTGTTTTTCTACTTTAGAGTGACTGGTTGCAATCGAAACATTTCCAAGCAACCAAAAAGTTAGAGTGCAAAGTTCAAAGTCTTATTAAACAGAAGCATGGGGCTTTCAAAGGAGCACACTTGGCATTGCAGTAGGCTATTCCCAGATATAGCTGGAGTGGGACCAACCTGGTTACCACAGAGCTCTGATCCCTCTGCTCCTGAACCTCCAGCCAGTCAAAGAGGCAGGGAGAAGGCCCCTCCACAGTCAGAGAGGAAATGTGGATCTGCACCACGGAGGAGGGTGGGACTCGGATCACCCACACACACAGCAAGTTGGGGGGGTAGGAGCCAGGGTGGTTTGGGGTACTGAAACTGCCCTCTGAGTCAGACAACACCCCTCCGCAACCTGAGAAGGAACACTTTATTTTAGTTACAGAAAGCAAAAGGGCCTCAAAGTAAAGAAAAACAAAATGTTATTCAGTGAGGATGGACATGAAAATGAACATGCACATTTAGTATTTTAAATAACACATTAAATTATTATTATTATTATTTTATTGTAATCACTTACGTGTTTCAGGAGGTGGGATCCTAGCAGGCTGTGGTGCTGTTGTACTTTCCTTTTGACTTGTGTTGGCAGAGATTGTGGGTAGAGTAATATGTGGCGCTTCATATCCTGTATTTAGCCGATTTGGAGAAGTGGTGGACATCAACTCATTCTCCACTGCCTGGCCTTTCATCTCTAAATCAGGACCAGAAAACAACAACTGTAATGGATGGAAACATAACAGGGAGACTGCCGAGAAAATGCTTATTCCAGATAGAAAAACAGTGCTGTAGGCCTATTGGTAAAGTCCTGATACAGTATGTTTTTGCATTACAAATAGGAACACATCTATGCAACCTGAATTAATAAATGTATTATTGTTCTCTCGAAAGCTGTTCAAATCAAGTTCAGGTATTTATTTTTCACTGTGACATTAGCACTGCAGCAGTAACTCACGTGTGAGGAGAAGAGCCAGCGCCAGTCCGAGGGCCGTTACCAGGAGCAGGGCAGCAGCAGAGACCGCCACCCCCCAGCCACAGCCCGGGCCCCGCAGACGCATCGCACACACCCCCAACAGACCCCAACCTGGACCGGAATTACAGGGCACACATTCAATTTATATGGGTATGTGAAGTCAGAGGCACTTGAAATGTCTACTCTTTGGCTAACAACTAATTGGTGTTACAATATGCATCATATGTAATATTAAAGAACGCGGTCAATTTACCAAATTCTCCAAGGTTTAGACACTTTCCACAATCCGAGCAATGCTTCTCTCTCACATTTTACAATGATTTAAGATTTAAAACTGAAAATACACCTCTAGACTTTCCCGGGCTTTGCAACCGGACAAAATACTGCGCTAAATGTGTAATGATCCTTTTTTTGTTTGATTCATTGTTTACTGTTTTCAGTTAGTGTGATTTGTATTGCCCTTTCATGGAGTTGTTGAATTTTTGAGAAATAGATTAAAAGAATGATGACCAAATCCATCATACTTTTACTTCCTTGGATGGGTAAACCCCCAAAACACAGGGCCCTATTTCCCATGATACAACAGTGGTGTCTTTCATAAACACAACATGCCTGCTAGTCACCCATGTCTTCTCCTCTACAGGCTTTCTTTCATAACTTTTTAAGAAAAAGAGCAAGAAAATACATTTTACAAGTGTTATCACTGTGGGACTAACCATATCCAGTGAACGGATCTTTGATCTACAAAATCTAGGGGTTACTCCTCTGGTCTGTTAACAAACACACACTTCTGTAGTATTCTTCACGAGAGTTGAATTTAAAACCAGCAGAGTCTAGGTGATGCAATAATGTAGCTAATCCAAAACACATACACAGTCTAATCCAGCTCAAGCAGCAAGCTGATTGGCTGACTCACTAGCTGCCGGCGGTTTGATTGGTTCAGGGGTGGACGAGGATGTCCTGAATCCCTCCACCCGCTCCTCTCGCTCCCCCTCCAGCTCAAAGGCAGGGTTGCAGAACACATTCTGTGGAAACGCAACAGAAAGAAGTAATGAAACTATCAATAAATAAACTTCATACACTTACAGACAACATTTGTGTTATAAAGTGCTCATTTAAAAGCAAGATTGTATACAATTTAAACAATCTACACTATATGTATAAATAATCTTATTTTGTTAAATATCAAGATGAATTAGTTAACAAAGAAATATATCATAATTTGTTGTATGTGCTTAAGGGTTTTGCCGCGGTTTTGAAGGTTGGTTGTTATGTTTTCAGCAACACAGTGCAACAGTGTTATGTTCCCTGTCAGTTTTTTTCCTTATACAATGTTTTTGGATTCATTTCACTACTGCATTAATATCTTGCATCTTACTACTGTGAGTGCTTGAAGTTGTGCTCATTTGAACTTCTTCATATACTCTGTAGTTTAATCTTTTATGAGAATAGTATAATAGCAATGCTTTTTTGTAGCTTTTCCAGCTAAACCCAGGACTTTCTTTGAATGGTAAATATATCTAAAAGAAGAGTTTTCTCTACACATGAAGGAACACTTCACCCTTCAGTGTACCAAAAACATTAAAATCAAACACATATGTACAAGTTTTTACTGAACATGAAGGGTATACAAAATTGAAAAGTAAATTAAGCTGTCAGATAAAAATGGTGGAGTAACACATCCAATGAAAAGAGGAATAAGAGTGTTGAAAACAATAAAGTAACATAACATGGAAATCGTAAGTAATAAGTAAATTAGTACGTTTTACTATTCAAAACGGTACTTGGATAATACTTAGTTACATTCCAATGCTTAACATAAAGTACTGTAACGTTTACATTGATAATGCATAAATGATAAATAGGTTTCCAGCCTAAAATGTAAACATGGTCCAAATAACAGCATAAAAGCAGGACTGAAGGCCAATGACTGTGAACTGCACATGACGAACTGGCATACAAAAGGTTCCAGGTCAACAATGTTTAAGAAATACGTATAAACAATATATTTTAGAGAGGGGGAAAAAATACCCATTAAAAAAAAAGCCCTCCATTTTGAAAGCAAGAATCACAATGGACTATAAAAAGGGTCTAGTTTGCATATAGGTTGATCATTTCCTGCTTATTTCTCAGTAACCCTGTGACCTTTTCCACATCTCCTTCAACCATCATTCATCCTACCATCCTCGCTCACCTTGTAGATATCTGAAGAGTCTGAGTACACTGCAACTTGGCTGAGGTCAGACATCTTCGGTCCGCTGTCACTCTTTTAGAGCTTCTTAAAGAGCCTGAGGTTGTGCTAATGACATCTATGGTGACATTGTGAAGAAAGCTGTTTCTACATGAGGGAGTGTTAAAGATATTTTCCTTGGTTTTCTCAACATTGTTCACTTCTGGCTCCTACAGTACACTTCCACCTTGGTTTAGTAAGCTTACAGCCTTCACTCTCCCAGCACAGCAGAGCTCTCTGTTGGACATCCATAAATGTAATCCAGATAAAAAACAAAAGAATGAAAACAATGTAATTCACGTAAAATAATTGTCAAACTCCAGTTAACAAAATATCCATGTTTGCTGCTATCCTGTAGCCTTGGGTCTGTTTTTGCAGCACTAGTCTGTATTTCTGTGTGTAGGTGAGTGGTTAAAAAGGAGTTTTAGAAACTCCTTCACAGTGTTGAACAAATCCGAGTCAGCTGAGAGGACTGAGCCCCTCGGGGGAGGAGGGAGGACGGGGGAAAGGGAGATGGGGTGAGGGTGGAGGTGTGGGTCCCTGTTAAAGCTCAATAATCCCCATAATTATCTTTTAAGGTCCTAAAATGTTTTATTCACATACGTTTTCATGCCCAAACCTTGCAGGTGCATTAATACAGAAAAACAAATACACATGAGCACAACACACACTTTAAAAGCCCATAGCATTGGCACAGAGACAGTCTTGAGTAATAATTTGGGGTTGTTAGGCATTAATAAAAACGGCATTGTGCTGAGATTAAGTTTGACAATGCTGAATTAATGCAATTCATGCTGAGATTGTGAGATTAAAGACTGCATTATCAGGCTCATTGCACTTCAGTTAAGTGCCCTGATAGACTTTGTTTTAAAAGGTTTGGAGAAACCCTTTATGAGACCACTCTTGACTTTAAATTAATAAGCTATGTCAAAAAGTCACCAGAGACATATTAAACTCCACAGAATCCTAAAAAGAGAACCCTTTTGCAATCAAAAATGAAAGTAAGAGCTCAAATCTGTGTTCTGACCTAAATTGCTCAATCACTTGTTCCCTGTTTGGTGCTGCTGTGTTAATGGGTAATCGGTCATCAAATAAAGCGGTTGACTGTTGTTTGATAAGGACACTCTCGCTGTGGTTTCTGTCACTCAAAGACACAAAGCACTGATAGAGTGCAGTCATGTATGTCAAACCAATACTTTGGATACTACTCTTCAGCTCTGTCCAAGAGGGTGAGCATTTCAATGTTATCTTACTGAGTGTAATTACATGGAACCATATGTCTGTTTTGACTCTTGTGTCTGTGTCCACTGTTTGATTATCCTTGCATGAAGTGATGCATGTTTATTTCTGTGTGTCCTCAAGTGTCACTGCAGGAATATAATTATGATGATGAAACATACGAGTATCCACAGCCTCTGAGCTGCTCAACCACCGAGAACATCAAAGGTGGAAATGTCACCTACTCACAGGTAAAGATAACATATTCTTCCCGCTGTGGGACTAATAAAGGATTTCCGATCTGATCCTGAGCACTGAACTGAACATATCAGATGTATCACTGATTTTGAAGAGGACAGAAAATGTAATCACAGACACCTTTGTCACACCATGACAAATACCACCAAATATTCTCTAGGTTTATCTTCAAAATTAAATACAAAAAACGAAATAAATGTAATGCTTTGCTCTCTTTTATCGTTTTAAATTTAATATTGTTTTGTTTTGGTTGTAGGTGGTCAGACCTTTTGAATAGTTACTTCTCAATAGATAATTAAAAAAACGTGTTAAATAAATGTAAAGACCATGTGCTAATTTAATGAGCGAGAAAGTCGTTGGATAAATCCACAGTGAAAACGATTATTAACTGCAGCTCTACTCTGAACCTTAATAAAGCCTTTAATTACTTCATGACAAAAAGTCTAGGTGCTCACATTTTACACCAAAATGAAAGATGATATTGTGTATAGGCATTCGTTTCACTTTACCCTGATGTAGATGTTCCTTATGTATATGACAAAATCATAATATGTATAATATTCCAAGTTTAGAAATGTAAAACAGGGACAAAGTAAGGCACAGCACTGAATTTCTCACTATGGAATGAATCATGATAAAAAAGGAACTACGAGGTCAGGGAAGTGAAAGGAATCAAGAATCCCTTTACTGGAAATCTTCATCGATTTAGCTCCAAAAGTGACCATGTGCTTCCTCTGCAGGGAGGGATGCAGGGAAGTGTGCTGACTTATCACTGCGGCCCGGACCAATACCCTTTCCCCGTCAGCTCCAGGCTCTGCGGCGATGATGAGGAGTGGTCGGTCATGAGATCAAACAATGGAAGACAGATTTCACGGGCCACATGCAAAGGTAATAGTTTGGGTGGTGATTAGCTTTGGTTTGGTATATTCAAATGTATTAACCTCTCAATGCATCCTCTTCTCCTAACCCTTGATCCTCTTTTCCACCTCTCTTCTGCTCCCAGACATCTTGTGTCCGGCTCAGCTCCAGCTGGATCACGGTGACTTCTGGCCCCGGGACCAGTGGGCTCATGTTGGGACGACGCAGACCTTCTCCTGCCAGGAAGGGTTCACCCTGTACGGCTCAGCCCAGAGGAACTGCACCATGTCTGGGGAGTGGACAGGAACCACTCCCATCTGTGACAACCACGGTGAGGACGGACAATATAACAAACCTCACTCATGATAAAGCAGAAATCATGTGTCTGACTACAATATGGCTGCGGTTTTTTCCTCTTACTACACCTCAGTGCAATATAGAATAACAAAGAATATCCACTTTAAGTACATGAGGCCCCGAGCTCCCATTATCAGGTGTATTAGAGTCTATGGTACAGTGAGCATGCACTGACTAAGCTCTTGCTTACTTAGGTTTACATTGTAAAGCAGCTTTTGATGAATGCATATAATGATCCCTGTAAATAGATTTCATACAGTAGTTTACTGTGGTTACTGTGACACAAAACAGGTCACTGATTGAATTCAATGTCTTACAATACATTTCATTAAACTGACGCTTCTTTTCGAAGCAACAACTGCAATCAACCATGAGAGTACACATTTTGAAATAATCCTGCAATTGCATTATTTTCAAATAAGCCAAACCATTTTAAGTGCTACATACAGAAATGATACTTTAAAGAAAATGTATTTTCCTGTCCAACTTGCAGTCAAAACAGATGGGTTTTCATGTTGCGACAGATAATGTGTAGACTTTCTGCTGTTTTGATATCCCTGTGGAGCTCATTCCACCATTTTGGAGCCAGTATGGCAAACAGGCATGTATTGGCATGGTGCCAAGTCCCACTCTCAGTGAGTGAGACAGCCCAAATATTTTTTTTATTACAAATAAAGTTATGTTCTGAACATTTGAATACAAGCACAGACATACATATCTGCTCTAAATCAATGGATATAAAAAAAATAAATAATAATATTCATTGTATATTCTGCTACCTGTCGCCACGCTGCAGCTGACGACTGTAGTAACCCAGGCATCCCACCGGGGGCTCAGAGGTCAGAGGGTCGCTTTCAAACAGGGGAGAAAGTGATCTACCGCTGTCAGGCTGGTCTGGATCTGCTCGGGTCGGCTGAAAGGGAGTGTCTGGAGAACAGGGAGTGGAGCGGCTCAACACCACGCTGCCAAGGTGCAGAGGAGCTTTTGATGTTTTTCCTTTAAAATAACAGAAGCACATTTTTTAAGGCCAAACAATGATCTGCAGCATTGGACATCAAAGCAGTGCCAGAACAGTACACTGTGAATGATTACAATAAGATACAATCCTTGACATCTTTGTGCTTTTCTGCAGGCGCACATATGTTTGACTCCCCCAGTGTTGTGGCAGCAGCCATGGCCGGGTCCCTTGCAGGACTCATGGATGTTATCTCACCGGACTCCAAAAAGACTGGTTAGTATGACTTGTAACAGAGATTTCAACATGACATTTCAACAGTGCATAAACAACACAACAGTTTTAACTGCAAAATCTAAGGGAACCATGCTGAATGAAACTGCAATTGTTTTCTCTTAATCTGTGCATGTTAGAATCGTCGGCGTCCTTTGCCCGCACCATCCTTGTGTCTGAAGGCAGTCGTATAAACGTTTACATTTTACTGGACACATCAGGAAGCATCACAAAGCAGGACTTTGAGTTATCCAGGACAGCAACCATTGCTCTCATCAGAAAGGTCTGTGGGTGAAAGACAGAGACATTATTTTTATTCACATTGGTGGTATCGTTTTTTTCCTGTCTTCCCCTCTCAGTAGGTTTGAAACATATAGACCACATGTATTTTTTGTATTTTCCTTCTAGTTGGACAGCTACGAGGTTCAGCTGAGGTTCCATGTGTTGTCATTTGCCACTATGGTAAAAGACATTGTAGACATCACACACTCGGATATCAGTGGAAACATTGACGACGTCATTTGGAATCTGGAGGGTTTCAACTATACCAGTAGGACTGTCCTCATTCATTCGCTTCAAGCTTTCATCTAAGGACCAGGCTACAGCCATGATGCACCATGTGTTTAATAGTCCAAGAAATGTCCTATCTTTTGCATCTGTACATCTGCAGGCCATGGGCGTAAGACAGGAACTAACCTCCACGCTGCCCTCTATCGAGTCAGTGAGAAGATCAACTTCCTCAAGCAAAACAGTGCCAACAACCATTTTAATGAGACTCAAAACATCATAATTATAGAAACAGACGGTAAAAACACAGACAAATGTCTTAGAACAACATCTTTTGAGCATCTCCAGCTCATGAAAATATTTTACAACTCATTAGAGCTTGTAAGACATAATAAGAGGGTTAACTTTAGGATACAGTGAAGGTGTTCATACCCTCTTTATGTCCTTCTGCCTGCAGGTTACTCCAACACAGGCAAAAAGCCTGAGATTGCCCTGGCCCAAATCCGGAGTCTGCTAGGTTACAGAGACCAAACCAGTGATAACACAGATGAAACCAAGCTGGGTATCAAGATTTAAGAATGTTTTTAATAAATGTTTTAATGGACCATGTACAATAGTTCGTTTAACTGTGCATCATAAACCTAGCATGGAAAGTTAGTTTTAGTGTGTGGTTGTTTGTTGACATGGTTGCTTTGCCTATTATAAGAAATGTTGTGTGTCTGTTTGCAGATGTCTATGTATTTGGTATTGGCAGCAAAGTAAACAAAGATCAGTTGAACTCCTTAGCCTCAAAGAAACGTGGTGAGAAGCACTTATTCGTTGTGAAAAACTACCAAATACTTGGAGAGGTGTTCAACAGCATCATAAGTAAGTGGGAGATCACTCTTGGACAGATTTCAGCTCTAAAGTCAGAAGAAGATTAACATTTGAGAACATAAAATATACAAAGGCCCTGAAAGGCAAAGGAGAAAATCAATCTGTCATTGTATTTTTTTAGCTTATTTATTTAATTTTCTGTGTTTATTGAAAAATAAACGTTTGTCGGGATGAGTGTTTATTATTTTTGTCATACTAAATTCAACCACAAGTGACCTTATTGCTCCACAGAATAAATACAACAACAAAGAGGACTAAGAAAATACTCCTGTTTTTCAAATGCATAAATAATTATAATTTGAGAAACAATCTTGGCATTTTTTACCTGCCTATCTTTTCGCACATTTGTTTCACAGATAAAGAATATTATTTGAGGAATTTAAACACATGCTAAAACAATTGAGAGCCGACTATATTCCCCCTTGCCTTTCCGGCTATCCAAAAAAAAAAATCATACCGATATTTGAGTTACTTAAGTCTAACCATTAAAATGTCTCATAATCCAGGTGACAAGAGTGTGACCATGTGTGGGATAGCTCAGGAATTGGAGGAGCATAGGAAAACCCTCACCAGACCCTGGCATGTCACTGTGGAAACAATCAATAAGGTCAGTCTAAGTCTAAGGTCAGTCACTAAAATCATAATGGAGATTTTATATTTCAAATTGGATTTTCACACAATAAAACTTTTCTTTCTTATAGATAGCGCCAGCGTGTGTTGGATCCATTGTGAGCCAGAACTGGGTGCTGACAGCTGCTCACTGCTTCGCCAGGGCGAGCACAGAAGAGCCTCCGAAGGTGCACATTCGTCACGGTCAGTGTCATCAAAGGAAGTTCTTTTAAAGATTAAAAAACAAACATAGTATAGTATGTTCAAATTGTCGGAAAAAACTACATAGTATAGTACTTCCAAAATATTGGAAATAATAACATAGTATATAGTATGTTGAAAATATGCAAACAAAAGACATGGAATAGTGTATTGAAAAATTGTAGAGTACATATCAACAAATAGAAAACTAATCAACAAATAAACAAGTCGCACATAGTCTAGCGGTTAGGATTCCTGGTTTTCACCCAGACGGCCCCGGTTTCTTTAATTTATTTTGTATTTATTTATTCAAAAGTGTCAATAAAAATACAACTACAATCATACGACATAATGGAGATATGTGTAATGTCCCAATTAGCTATAGGAAGCTTGAGAATAGGGCCCCAGACAACGAACATAAAGTATTTAGATATCATTTATACAGTACATATATAATTGAGAGAGTTCATGTGTTGTGCAGAAACATTACAACCCAACCCGTTCAATTCCCGGTATGGGAACAGGGTTGAAAATGTGCAAAAGAATCGACATAGTTGAAATTGTCAGAAAGAAAATACAATGGGATTTCTGGCATTAGTTTTCTCGAGTCAAAACATAAACTCTCCAAGTGTTATTGCCTACAGTAACAGATTGTGTCTAGATAGGTTTTCTATTAACTTCATGAAATGACAAGCTGCTTCTTTGGCTCACAGGTGACGGCTGGGTGGTTTCCGAGAGGGTGATCATGCACCCCAAGTACAACATCAGGGCGCTCAAACACAGAAACGTATCGGAGTTCTACGACTACGATGTAGCTCTGGTTCAGGTGACCAAGAGTATCCCGCTCTCATGGAAAGCCAGGTAAGAAAGCAGGAGGAAAAAATGTTGTTAGACACAAGTGATACACCCAAGAAAAGGTGTAGTGCCAAAAAATGAGCTTTTTCATTATTACTTAATCATTTTATTTACAAGACATTTCTTTCTTTTTTATGTTATGGTTTACATTTTTTTGTATTACTTAATACTTTACATTTGATTTGATTTGTATTGATGTTATTGTCTAATTTTACGTCAGTACAGCAAGTCCTAAAATGTTTTCTTTCAGTTTTTACTGTGTACAAGCAAACAAGTACATTGTAACTACTTTTGAAAAATGTTGGAGAAAAAAACCTACTATTGGCCCACAATGGTGTAGCTAAAAAAGGGAATGAATCAGTTAAGCCCCAAGCCTGCTTTTTAGGCCTCAGCCTCGAAAATGACATTCCCAGAACAAATGACTATATCTTCACTTCTAAAAGGGGTAAATGAATCATCTTTTTTCTCAAAGCAATGATAAACCTGTGAGTTGGATGTAGAAAAGTCAGAATCAATATAGATTTTTTTTATTTTAAAGTAAATTGAGATTGAACATAGTAAAACAAATTAAATTATAGTGTCTGTCCAAAAAAAAAACATTACTTTAAACAATAACACAATAACACTTCCTCAACAGAGAAACCCAACGTCTGGGAGGCTTTTGGTTTCATCCTAGATGAGAAAAGAACCAACATCCCACGCTTTTTGAGACAAATATGCAACTGTGTGTTAATAATTGCATGTTTTCACTGCTCATATATATATGCGGGTTCGGGTCGGGTTGCGGAACTAATTGGCAATATGTGCGGGTAGCGGGGCGGGTTCGGCATTGCACGTCGCGGGTGCGGGGCGGGAGAGGGTTTTGAAAATCAGACCCGTGCAGGACTCTGCCGTGCTGTAGTTCCTTTATAGCTCAACATTTTGGCGCAGATTTTTAAAAGGCTGCATAATCCCCGCATTTTTCCACACAAAGTTGAGAAAAAAAAAAGTTAACTCGTCTTGACGTGAAGTAGTGATGATGATGATGTGACGTGACGTCATCAGCTCGCGCATCACAGAAGGTAAACAACACCGTAGAGTGAACGTGTGGAACTCACACGAGAGAGAAAACACCAAGATGAAAACATCTGATCCATCTCATTTACCGACGAACATTTCTACTAAAGATCGGGCAAAGCAGTACCCCGACTGTCTTTCTACGAAAGTAGGGGGAACG